GTCAAAAATCCACCCCTGATTTTAAATTAATGTAAAGATCTTCTTTTCTCTTTACTACATGAATAATCTGTTATACAGAGTTAAGCTAGAATTTTTTTTTGGGGGAGGGGGAGGGAAGGGGGTTGTACACCTTGAGGTACTCAGGGCTCATTCCTAGCTTTGAACTCAGGGATCATTTCCGCTGGGCTCTGGGGGAACAAATGGGGTGCTGGGGATAGAAACTGGGTTGCTACATGCCAGGCAAGAGCCCTACCACTGTACTGTATCTCTGGCCCTTAAGCTAGAATACTCCATCAGAGACTGAGAGTTTTCACTCCCAGGTAAAGTTTGTCTGTAGTTTGCTTCCTGGAACACAGACAGAAGTTATTTTCCTATAAAGAACATGTAAAGAAAAAAGCTTCCTTTTGGCTTCTCTTTATTAGAGTCGTGTAAAAAAAATGACAATATCAAAAGATTAACAATGCTAATGACAACACTGGCCGAAAGATAAAGGAAGCTGAGCACTCACCACACTAACTCTTTGTAACAAATCAAAGTGCTGCACTATTACCAGCTGAGAATCCAGAACACTGACTTACCCTGAGGCTTCCAGGTATTGATTGGGGGTCTGAATCAAGCCACTGCTTTGGTATTCTTTTTCAAAACAAACGGCAAAACAACAACCAAGCAATATAAACAAGAAACTATATTCTCTTGAAACTGGTAAGTCTTAGATAATCACACAATTTACCCCAATTAATACAAAAAACAACAAACTGAGCATCAATTGTGGTGACTGACTGGAGAAGAGCAGAAAAGTTCCTACGGCCTCAGCATATGCCTGCCATAAAAGGGTCCAGCCACTGGAAGGCAAAGGGGCCTCTAAGACAACGAAGCCCTCCAGATGCTTCCAGATTCTGGCCCCTGCGAATAGTGCTGCAGTGAACATGGACGTCCAGATGGCTCTTCTGCGGTGTGGTTTTGGGTTCCCGGGGCAACTCCCAGAAGTGGAACAGGTGACTGGATAAAAAAACGATGGCACTTTGACACAATAGAATGATTGCACTCATTTGTGGGATATACCCAGAGCAATGGAAACAAGTCCATGGTCAAAAGCTGGTGATAAGTGGTAATGGTGAGAGGGCAGGTAGGCTAGAGAAGGGACCACCATGTCAAAGAGAGTTGGAAATGATCATTCTGGACAAGAACTGAGCGCTCAAAGTAGGTAAAGCGACAAACATGATAACCTTTTAGCACCTCTATTGCAAACCATAAAGCCCAAAAGGAGGGGGAGTGATGAGGGTGGGGAAGAGAGGGAGGGGGGAAGGAGAGAGAGACAGAGAGAGAGACACAGAGAGAGAGAGAGGGAGAGAGAGAGAGACAGAGAGAGAGAGAGAGAGAAGAAAAGTGCCTACCATAGAGGCGAGGTATACTGGGGTCACTGGTGATGGGAAACATATACGGTGAAGGACATTGCATGACTAAAACCTAACCTTGAATAACTTTGTAACTGTGTACCTCATGGTGATTCAATTAAAAAAGAAACAAAATAAAATGGAAAGGATCATGGAAAGAGCACATTGGAAAAAAAAAAAGGAACAATGAAGATGTAGATTTACTATGGTGAGTCCGGATGAATTACTATAATGTCATGGTTCTGAATTTAGATTTTTAGAAAGATTTTATCCCATATATGGTATCTCAGTCTTGTTAAAACAGCTCTGGGACTTTGAGAAAGTAACAAGTTACATAAGATGGGGCAGAGAGTATGGCAGGAGAGAGTCTGGGGGCTTGCCGAGTTCCAGGAAAGGGGTCAAGGAAGTCCTTGTTATGGACCTCCGTGTTTAGTGAGGGGTTTACACCACTGGGGCTATCGGAGGGCTTTTGGAGGGGTGCCACTATAACCCCCCCTTCATTCACGGCTTCTTTGGTGGAGGGATGCAGGGGGAAATTTACGCAGATATATTTTTATATATTATATATGGTATATATGGTATGCCAGCGGGCTGGAGCGACAGCACAGCGGTAGGGCGTTTGCCTTGCACGCAGCCAACATGGCCGACCTGAGTTCGATTCCTCCGCCCCTCTCGGAGAGCCTGGCAAGCTACCGAGAGTATCTCGCCCACACGGCAGAGCCTGGCAAGCTCCCCGTGACGTATTTGATATGCCAGACACAGTAACAACAAAGTCTCCAATGGAGACGTTACTGGGCCCGCTCGAGCAAATCGATGATCAACGGGAAGGGCCTTTACATTTACAGGGCCTTTACATATGGTATGCCATGCCATACATCAGCTTTTCAAATTAAAAATGTTGTAGGAAGGAAGCAGCTAGGTGCAAAAACGTTCATTTAAAATATGCTTACTCCTTCCCTTCCCTTGGTTGCTGCTACTGTGAAGACAGGCACAGGTGGTCACTCATGGGCCTGACTATGGTGCTCGCAGGTTTGTATTAGGTGAATGTCCATCTCAGAGAAGATAACTTAAGATTTATGTATTTTTTTTCCCTTTTTGGGTCACACCTGGTGATGCACAGGAGTTACTCCTGGCTCTGCACTCAGGAGTTACTCCTGGCAGTGCTCGGGGAAACCATATGGGACGCTGGGAATTGAACTCAGGTCTGCCGTGTGCAAGACAAACGCCCTACCTGCTGTGCTATCTCTCCAACCCTTAAGACCTATATTTATTGTGGCCACAGTCATATGAATATTCATATGCGGTGAGTAGGCTGATGGCCAGAAGCATGTATCTATGGGCTTGGAGAGATAGGACAGCACATGGGTGCTTGCTTGTCTTGCACACGGCTGACCCAGGCTCCATCCCGGCATCCTATACAGTCCCAGGAGCCCTGCCAGGAGTGACCCCTGAGCACAGAGCCAAAAGCATGCCCTGGGAACTACCTGGTGTGGCCCCCAAACCAAACCAAACCAAGCAAACAAATACCAAAAACAAAACAAGCCCTTATCCCAAAACAAAAAATTATAGTACTAAAGAATGTTTGAGGGTTGGAATAATTAGGTTTTTCTAATAATCTATTTTCTACTTAGTTTACAAAGAACCACTTGGTAGCCCAGAAATTATTTTTCACTTTTACACGTAAATTTTACTGATAATTCTTTTTTCATTTTAGTCATCTGCAAAAATTTCTAGTTTTGTCAGTGAACCTTACATTGGCAGTACATTCTAAAGCAGTGCTTCTATGAATTCTGCATTTAACCCTTGCCAAGTTCACAAGTAAGCTCATTAGATTCTAAGAGCTACTGCTTTGAGTAGAAAAATATTCATTTCACACCTTAAATATTAAAATACCATTTAATAACAACACTGGCCTGCCAACTATCAAAAGCTCATTTTTATACTCATTTTATATACTTGAGCTTTTTATCTTGCCTTTTTAATTACAATCATAAATTAGTATCCTAACATTACAACACTGATAGGCATTAATTAAAAATATATTAGTTAACAACATTAGTATTTATTGTGCAAAGTTGGATCCAGAGTTCATTTGGAAAAACAATTATTGCTCAATAATATTAAGATGTTTAATGTTTAAACTATTCAATAATAAAACAAAGTAATTCTTTGTCTTCAATTAATGTATTTCTCTTAACTTTATATTATTCCATTATTTACTATAATTACTAAACTACAACTGTAATTGCAAAACTTAATTCGGCAACAAAATTTATAAAGTGATTTTTCTGTCCTTTGAAACCATTTAGTTTCTTTTTGACTTATATTTTTATTACATTTATATTAAATAATGGTATTACCATCATAGATTTCACATATATTATGATATTAACATTTCTCAGTTATATGCCAAACCATGAATATTTAACTATCTTCTATATTCACTTTTTTGGGGCATGAACAGATATAATATGCCCAGATAAAGAATTTTACCTATTATCTAATGTGTCAAATTCCAAACCTTATATTTTACTTCAGTACTAAGTGTTAGGAGATTCTAACGTTTATAAGGTAGATGCATACAGTGAAAATATAATGACAACATATGAGTTTTACTGCTGTGATAATACCCTTCCAGGACACCGTGGGAACATAAGCCTTTTGTAATATCCATGACACTTAAATGACTGATTATTTATACAGACCCCAACTGGTATTTTAAAAAAAGATGTCAAGTGTTTCAATTACCATCTCATTTCTGGAATTCATAAGCAAATTGTTAAAACTTCACATTTACCAGAATCTTATTAAATACTACCTACATACGAGGCCTCTGGTACATATTGAAAGCTTGCTTGGGGTTCTCAAGAAACAAATGACAGAGCTTCAATTAGAGATACAGACGTATTCAAATAAAAATATAAAGATTTAAACATGAATCCCATGTTCTATAAAAGGAGTTATAGCTTGATTCTCAAGTAATTTTCAAGAGTACAGTTGTCCTTACATATATTTTCTAATGTTATTACTATTAGAACTAAAAAGAATTCAAAGTACTCCAATTAATGCATTTCTGGAAGAATCTGCATTGCCTATTATAATGCCAAAATGTGGTATTATTGAATCTATAAATTTTCTTCTACAAAAAAAAAAACCCTCACCTTGCTCTTACATTATAGTCCAGTATGCAAATCCTCAAGTATTCCTAAAAAAATTACCGTTACTCTTCTTCCCAGGTCTGACTATTAGGAAGGTAAAAACACCAATAAATATATATTCAAGCATGTTCAAGTTATAAGGAGAAAAATAACAAGAGACTGAAGAAGATACACTTGATCTTAACTCTTATGCCCCTTAAGATAGCCAATAAAATTGTTATTTTAAAAAATAACTAATAATAAAGTAACTAACAAAACAGGACACAAACAAACATGAACAAACAATATACCCACGGATTACATTTTATAATCTCTTAGGAGTCCATAAGCAGTATATTCTGCTTTCATTGAAAACTGAAACAAAAAGGAAGTCTTCAGTATTAGATTACTACAAAAACAAAAACGAAAATATATTATATCATCATGAATCTAAGTATCTGTGACCTACCTGTAGGAATTAAACGTTCCATCAGAATCTAAAGTTGAACTTGTTCTTCTTCCATTTTTATTTGAGTCTCCTAGAAAAAAAATTGAGGAGAGTGAAGGTTCTAAGTTTTAATATGCAGTGTACTGGATAATAAAGCATACCTGATTTCTTTAGACATTTATTGTACTTCTAAAATATAATCACATCCCACTACTCACCTACGTGGGAACACTACAGAAATAACGGGTTATAAGAACAAATGAAGTACAGTACAGTACAGTACAGACATCTTCAATTGCATCACAGACAAATCCAAAATTCTGGAGCATTTAATTACACTTTACTGTCTACTAACAAAGGGCAACTTTTTAAAATTTTTTTATTTCATTTTATTGAATCACCATGAGATAGTTACAAGCTTTCATGTTTGGGTTACAATCACACAATGATCAAACACCCATCCCTCTACCAGTGCACATTCCCCACCACCAATATTTCCAGTATATTCCCCGTTTCCCTCTCCCCCCCTTCCTCCATGGCAGACATTATTCCCCATAATCTCTCTCTATTTTTGGGCATTATGGTTTGCATTATGGTTTACAGACACTGAGAGGTTATCCTGTTTGATCCTTTATCTACTTTCTGCACACATCTCCCATCCCAAACGATTCCTCCAGCCATCATTTTCTTAGTGATCCCTTCTCTATTCCAGCTGCTTTCTCCCCTTTGCCCATGAGGCAGGCTTCCAGTTATGTAGCAATCTTCCTGCCCCATGTATCTACTATCCTTAGGTGCCAGCCTCATGTTCTTTTATACTGCACAAATGAGTGCAGTCCTTCTATGTCTGTCCCTCTCTTTCTGACTCATACTTAGCATCGTACTCTCCATGTCTATCTAAGCAAATTTCAGGACTTCATCTCTCCTAACAGCTGCATAGTATTCCATTGTGTAGATGTACCAAAGTTTCTTTAACCAGTCACATGTTCTAGGACATTTGGGTTGTTTCCAGATTTTGGCTATTGTGAACAATGCTGCAATGAACACAGAGGTACAGATGTCATTTCTACTGTGCTTTTTTTTTTTTTTTGCATCCGCGGGATGTATTACCAGAAGTGATATTGCAGGGTCATATGGAAGTTCAATTTCTAGTTTTTGAAAGACTGTCCATATTGTTTTCCAGAAAGGCTGGACTAGTGGGCATTCCCACCAACAGTAAAAGAGCGCTCCTTTTCCCCGAATTCACACCAGCACTGGTTGCTTTTGTTCTTCTGAATGTGTGCCAGTCTCTGTGGTGTGAGATGATATCTTGTTGTTTTGATTTGCATCTCCCTGATGACTAGCGTGGTGGAGCATTTTTTCATGTGCCTTTTGGCCATTTGTATTTCTTTTCTGAGGAAACTTCTGTTCATTTCTTCTCCCCATTTTTTGATGGAGCTGGAGGTTTTTTTTTTTTTCTTGTACAATTCTACTAGTGTCTTGTATATCCTGGATATCAATCCCTTATCAGATGGGAATTGGATAAATATTCTTTCCCACTCTGTGGGCTCTTTCTGTATTTTGGTCTGTTTTTTTTGAAGTGCAGAAGCTTCTTAGTTTAATGTAGTCCCACTTGTTTATGTTTGCTTCTACTTGCATGGTCAGTGCTGTTTCATCCTTAAAAGATGCTTTTAGCTTCAATGTCGTGGAGAGTTCTGCCTACATTTTCCTCTAGGTGCCTTATAGATTCATATCTGATATTGAGGTCTTTAATCCACTTTGATCTGACTTTTGTGCCTGGCATTAGGCAGAGGTCAGCGTTCATTTTTTTGCAGGTAGCTATCCAGTTTTCCCAGCACCACTTGTTGAAGAGGCTTTCCTTGTTCCACTTCACATTTCTTGCTCCTTTGTCAAAGATTAAATGATCATATATTTGGGGGTCTGTAACAGAATATTCAACTCTGTTCCATTCGTCTGTAGGTCTGTTTCTAGCCCAGTACCATGTTGTTTTAAATACTACTGCTTTGTAGTACTGTTTGAAGTTAGTGAGGGTGATGCCACCCATCTTCTTTTTCCCAAAAAGAAGATTGCTTTAGCTATTTGTGGGGGTTTACTGTTCCTTATGAATTTCAGGAGTGTTTTATCTATTTCTTTGAAGAATGTCATGGGTATCCTGATAGAGACTGCATTAAATTTGTATAGTGCTTTTGGTAGTATTGCTATTTTGATAATGTTAATCCTCCCTATCCATGACTGACCACTTGCTCAATCCAAATGAGAACAGGAAGAGAAGGGACCTGGTTTGTTCTCCAGGTCTCATTTGACATCAGGGACAGGAGTCACAAGTACATACTAAATGAATTTTTAAACCCTTCATATTCTCTCCAAAGTTTTATAACTGTGGGTAAAAATTCAGTATTTCAAAAAGAAAAAAATATAAAAGGAAAAAATCACAAGGTATTTTTGCTAACAAGTAGAAAAAACATTTTCACTTAAGAAACTGGGAAAATTAATAAGTCAAAGTTAGAGGCTGCTGACTACCAGCTTGAAGATCATTAAATAAAAATACTTATTATAATTTAAAAAAAAATCTGTACCAGTGCTGCAATATTAAAATATATAACCTTATTATAAATTATATATAAAATATATAATATTATATAATTTAAAAACTTAAATTATAAATATATAATTCACATAAACTTTTGTTGGTAAATATAATGTGCTTTGCGTGTGTGTAGAATCATGATGATGCAAAATTTGCCTTGCTTTAGAACACCCTAGGTTTGATCACTAACACCCCTGCTGCCACATACACACAGTCATACACACACACACACAGACCCTCACACACATTCGCTTTGAAATTTAGTCTCTCTCTCTCTCTCTCTCTCTCTCTCTCTCTCTCTTTCTCTCTCTCTCTCTCTCTCATTTTGGGGTTGATGCTCAGGGGTTACTCCTGGCTCAGTGCTCAGGAATTACTCCTGGTGGCACTCAAGAGACCATTTGGGGTGCTGGGAATCAAATCTAGGTTGGCCTTGTAAAAGGGAAGAATCCTATCTGCCATACTATATCTCTCCACCTACCTGCCCCCCCCCCTTTTTTTTTGAGAATACAGTCTCTATGAAACCACCATATGGCACTATCAAATACAGTATTTGTTTCTTAGGAAACAAAAAAGACTAGAACCTGTATTTCATGTTACTCATGCCAGTATGGTAACTTTTAAACATCAGGATATTTTCATTTTAATGATATTTAAAGCTTAATAATTTAATGATTTATCCCATTTTAATTTATAGTTTTAATCCACTTTGAAAAATCTAAGGTGCCACTGGAGATCATCACAGTGGTCCTGGTTAAGTCAAATAGTAATTATAGAGCTTTCACTTTAAAGATGAGATTATTTTTAATTATTGAGTATAGTACTTAAGGTACCATACTTATATAATTATGGTACTCATTAAATGGTTATTGAAAGCTGAAATGTAATTTTAATGACAGCTACCTATTTTTCTTTGCACATTTTATAGTTGACAGATTAGTGAAGAATGTTGGTTTGCTTCAAAATGTTTGCAGCTGTGCCTAAGTGTTTAGGAGGATGAGAAGTGGACTGAACCCACTCTTAAAACAATTCCTTTATTTAAAGAATATCTTTCCAGTGGTTTTTTTTTCATTAACTAAAAATCCCAAAATAGATTACAGAATTAAAAAATATTGGCATATTTTGTCAAAGAAAAGAGACAAGAAGCACTTACATTAAGATTAATATATTTGTTAATTCTTTGAAAATATGGGTACTATAAAGCTATTCATACAACATATACTTCATTTAAAAATAGTAAATATACAGTAATATATTACAAGCTAAATAGATTTACAAAAAATTAGTATTTGTCTGGCTAAATGAAATTTTCCTACAACAAATGTTATTTAACAGCTTGCAGACATTTCCTGTGAAATATTCCATAATCAGAGAGAATAAAGTACTATATCATACATTTAAAACTGAACTTTCTTTTGCCTTATAAGTAAAGACAGTGATTACTTAAAAACATAAAAATCTTAGAAATGCAGTATTTCTTCCTTTTTGCTAAGAGTTAGCAGATCAAATACAAAATCTTGCAAATAATAGACTTAGATTTTTTTTAAACAATCATGTTTCATCATCTAAATGTATTTAAAAAGGTTTCATTATTTTATAATGGTTTCAAAATAAACATATCACATTAAATGTAACCTGCGAAGGATGGTAATAAGGGGAAAAAATCAGATTTCCTTTCTTAAAAACATACCAAATAAGGAATAGAAATATTTAACTAAACAATGCGAGAGAAAAGATTTCAGACTTAGCTAGAAGAAAAAGGCAATAAAGTTTTGAAGCGGGAAAACTGCTTTGTTCCTTGAATCCTCTAGTTGAAATTAATTATAGCAAATGTTTATGAAAACATCTGTTCCTTACAGTTATAAATTCTTAATTTTAGTATGGACGATTCTAGACTCTTATTTTGGGAGGAAATTATCTGACAATTGAGAGGTTTACAAAAGAAAAGACAGATTTTGTAATTCTGGAAAATTGTATATACAGTGGGTTATATCCTGTAGAGATTTTTGTTTTTCTGAAACATTTGGAGGGGCTTAAAACCAGTAACCAGAAGAAATCAAAGACAAACAAAAATGCTCATCTTTCACTCAAAATATTCTTAGGATAAAAACATCTGTAACCCAAGACACTATCAACTAAGAACTAAAAAACAAATATTATTCTATCAACCTAATGTAGAAGTCTGTCTGATAAAGTATTGATTTTATCAGAGATTTTAGTAAGTCTAGGGCCAATACAATAATGGAAAGGTACGTGTAGTGTTCCCAAAAATAACAACAGAGGGTGCAAGAGAGTTTTCTATGATGTTTTTAGTTGCTGTTCTGACTTGAACTAAGTTTCCACGTAACTGGAATAAGGAGTATAAGTTGTTCTCAAGTCAGAGATGAGGATGTATGTATGAGCACTGATACATACCAGTACATACACACATTATTAAGGTAATCTTATACCAAGTCCTTTAAATGGTCAAGAAGCACAAATATTTAAAGACATTTTAAGATAACAATTCA